CACTATTTCTTTGAGTTTTTCTATGCTTTGGCCGGTGTCAGCCTTCATGGTATCCAGCTACCATGTTTTTTGATTGCCTAACTTCCTTTTACTGCTAACTCTTCTAAGCATAATTGCTTTCTCCAGTGATCCAGCCCAGTATAATTTTCAAACCAAATCAGCATTTATTTAATTGCCATGTCAGCCAGCTCATCGTTTAACTAGCTTACTAATCAGAATGTTATGTTCTTTGTCAAGTGGTTTGATAAAATCAAGATATGATATTCTAAGGAAGTTACCAGATTGAACAGTCAGATAATGTTAGTTTGGCAAGTCTTGTTTTTGATAAATGTGTGCTCATTGCTGGTAATTACTGCATGGCTTTAAAGCTTCTTAATGTCCAAGCCTCCATGATCTGCTGTACAACATTGCCAAGTACTAACTCAAACTGAGTGGCCTGGTAATTTGTGGGTTTTCCCTGTCGCACTTTTGAAAGTCGAAGCCACATTTTCTTTTCTCCAGCACCTGGCAGTTTTGCTGTGATTCATGTCTTATCAAATGGGAATAATGCATAAACATTCCTCCATTCCATCAACTAATTCCTCCCCTGTCACAATTCCAACTGGTTTTGGAAATTTAAACTTAATTAAAGTACATAAGAATTATTGGATTATGGTTGTATCTAAGACTTGAATCCTGAGCCTTCATCTCTCTTTTCAAAATCTTGCTTATTTGTTCACATCAAAGAACTATTGGAACCTGATCTCTGTCAAGATTAATGTTATTTACAAAGTAATAAGGCTTACTCTCCACCTCAATCTATTCTTCCAGAAGACTCTCCAACTTACTTCGTTTGAACAGAACAGAATAGAATAAAAGTTAGAAGGGACCATGCAAGTCTTTTAGCCCAGGTGTCCCCAATCCCCAGTCCGTGGACCGGCACCAGGCTGTGGCATGCCAAAAACTGGGCCATACAAAAAAGCAAAGCCGCATCCGCGAGATGTGGGCAGCATGCGAAACCATGCCCCCTTCGGTCCGTGAAAAACGTCTCTCCATGGAACCGGTCCCTGGTGCCCAAAAGGTTGGAGGCCACTGTTTTAGCCCATCCCCTGCTTAAGCAGGAGACCCTTGACCTTTTTTTCACCATGAACCCCCTTTAAATACTTTGGTGCCCACAGACCATGGCCACAGACCACCAAGACTTAACTCAAGATTTAAATCATAACATTTCTTCAAGCCTTCGCGAACCCTCTATGACCACATTGCGACACCCCCCCCCAGTACTTCACGAACCATAGTTGAGAACCACTGTTCCAGGCCATTTCAGACAAATGGATGTCCAGCCTCTTCTTAAAAACCTCCAGTGATGGAGCACCAACAACTTCTGGAGGCAAGTTGTTCCACTGGTTAATTGTTCTCACTTTCAATTCTCCCACCTAGCAACTACGGTATACTAACCCCCAAAGCAATCCTAAAGCCTCCACATTGACTGTCATATCTTACCCATTTCTCTCTGAAACCCATGGCTATGCCTCTGACTTCAGTTCTGTAGGTTCATTAATATCGTCCCTAACTTGGAGGTTTTTTAGTCCAGCCCTCCACCTCCCCCCCCCCACCCAAGGCAGGGATCCTCTAGCAACAGAGCACCACAACTCCAGGAAGCTTAGGTCTGCTTTAACTTAAGTATATGATGCTTAAGTTGTCAACCTTGGCACAACAGCTTCAGATGATGTATTACCAAATTATATGACATTTAACAGTGACTAAAACATACATTGGTCCCAACTACAATAGTAAATTATCCCATATGCAAATGCATCAGTTGCAGCAAGGCATTCTCTCTGATGAACAGAACAGAATACTTTATTTGGCCAAGTGTGATTAGACACACAAGGAATTTGTCTCCCGTGCATAAGTTCTGTGTACATGCAAAACAACAAAGTAATAATAATCATAATAATGATACCAATAAGAGAAGAAAGTGGAACTGATGAGGAGGATAATAATAACAGACATACTACATGGGTAAATATACTTAGACATAAGATAGTATTGTGGGAATTAGATGTTCAACAAGATAACTGTCAAGGTTCCAACTGATGGAACCAAATGAATCAGAACTCTGAGGCATGAGATTTCATCAAAGAACATGTTTATTGGATACATAATGTCAGCACGGTCAAATGTGAAACCAAATCTAAATCCCCCCCAAAAAAGGTTCAGAGTAATTCAATGTAATAGTTCCCTCCCTTCTATTTAGCTATAAATCACATTCTCCAATAGAACTACTTGGCGAGCTTTCTAACAGAAGGTCCTTCCTTCTCCACCATGGTGTGGGAATGACCTTGGTTCTCACGGGATCCATTCATGTTTAGACTAGCAGAAATACCTCATCCCCCCCTCCCTTTCTTGTGGCAACCTAGAACGACAAAGATGGCTGCAGCCAGGTTTGTTATAGAGTTGACAATAACAAGCAAAAAGAAGATTATGGAAAATTCCAAATAGTCCTGGATGAAATTCTATCCTCTTAGGACAGAAGGATTTGGTTCCATCAACACTGTAAAACCATCTGAAATTCTGCATAGGTGGCCAGGATCAGTAATGTGCTGTACTTACTTTGTCTGATTTTGAGGCCTTGGGCTTCCTCTAGGTTGATGGGATGGCAGGCTGGCTAAGAAAATGCTTGCAAGCATGGTTCTCTGCTTTGAGTTGGAAAATAGCTCTTTCCCTGAAATACAAGGGCCTCTGCTGACCATCGAGAGGCCTGCATCTGGGGGCCCATAAGGCTCACGCCCTGCCTCCTGACTTGCCACCACGACTAACCTCTAACGTTTTTTGGCCAAGAAGCAGAAGAAGCCAGTGAACCAGTGCTAATAGGAGGAAGAAAAGGATGTGGCTGGGCCGGATGGCTGTGTTGTTGCTTCTCCTTCAGCACAGTAAGTTGCCTTTGTAATCTGTCTCTACATTTTGAGGGCATGTTCTAGCAACACACTTGTGTTATCCAGAGTGACCTACAGCTACAAACACCTGCCTAGACAACTCCCATTGCCCAAGGAGTCTGGGATACCCAGTTTCATTTATCAGAGCCGCAGCTGAGCACAAACTGAAAACCCAGAGCCACACTTCAGGGTAACACCTTATATCCAGGATCCAAGTCTATGTTTGGGGAGGAAGTCTGGATTTCTCCCCCCATCTCTACAGCTGTCCAAAATGTTTCTGTCTGACCTGCTCCAAAACCAGGTTTAATGCACATCAATTACTGCTGATGAGTTTGATCACAGTGGCATTGCAGGTGGGCAAGTGTTCTTCCATATGGTACTAGGAATGACTCTTGCGTGTCAGGCCAACCATCACATAGGAAGCCTTGCCTTGGGAAGCGGCTTGGTTGCCATGGGACTCCTCAGAGCTAACCAGAGAGACGCTGTCCTGGCCGCCCCCTGCACCACCAGCAGCAAAGGTGAACCGAGGGTTGGGCTTAGTGGGCCAAAGGGACGGGTCTAGCTCTATCCAAACAACCAGCAGCCCCGGCATTTCGCTTTTCGGGGTCCAGTTGCTTCCTTCCACCGCCAAAAGCATCCTGACTGCATAGCACAGGGCCCAGCAGAGGACTTGCGTGCGGAGGTATCTGCAATGCAACAGGTGGGGAAAAGCTCTTCCTCCAGTGCCCTACGACGGGTGGACAGATGCACAATTCTGTGTACTCACAAGCAAATCCCATGCAGGTTACAACACCAGTCACTAAGGTGCTTCAAACCACCCCTGCATGTGCATACTAGAAACATGATAGTTGTATCTTTGCTGGTTTGTGTATCTTTGTCCGCATTTGTCTCTCCTCCATTCTGCTGCTCCCCTGTGCGATTTTCAGATCAAAAGCCTGGTGCAGTCCAGAGGGAAAGCCAAAGGAAATTGTGAGGGGAAAGTTTCTGAAATGGTAGGGACCAGAAAGGCCATTTGTTAGAATTTTTTTGTTTTATTAGTTTAATTATTTTAATCAGCACTTCACCGATGCTATGCAGATGTTTTAATACTACACTAGTGGTGTGTTTCAGTTGTAATTTAAGACTGATTAAAACATAAAGCTGGCGCTACTGTGTAATTGTGGCAGACGCCATGCACCCATTTGCCCAAAGGGACAGAAGGACATGGCAAACAATCCCCCCCCTCCAGATGTGCAAATGGAAAAAGAGGGAAGCCTGACGCTCTTTCCTGCCTTTTCTCCACCTCACCTGCAACCTTGCTGGGGATTGTTGGCCAAATCTGACTCTAGGTTCTGACTCAGCTCACCTTTCCCAATAATCAACCGAGTCAGAAGATCATTTAAAAGAAATTATTAGAGTACTCTGATAAAGTGGGATCTCCCTATGAAAAGGGGAACTAGGAAAAATGGATTACATTCACTTTTGTAGTTAGCACAACAAAGGACTTCAAAGCAAAAGCTGATTGGTTTAGAAATAGTCATCTGTCCAATTACATCACAAGAATTAAACATCCAATAATATGTGAGAACAGCCATTTACTTGTATTCTGAATACAAGTAAAAGAAACACTTGGAAAGGAAAAAGATAAAAAGGGGTATGGGTACGGTATATTCTCAGCGCTTCCCATGTTCATGGAGGCGAGAACAGCTGCAAATGAAGCTGCCACCCACAATGTACCCAATGCTCTCCGGCCAGTCCTGGTTTCTGAAAGAGAGGCTTATGGCAAGCTATTCACAATACAATTTTAAAATACAAGAAAACCCAAGTTAGTTAGCTAGAGCAATAGTACTACAAAAACCATGTCTCAAGTATTACAAAGTCCATCCTCTGTGGCCCTCAGGATGCTACCTTTTCATTGCTGGAATTGGAGGGCTTGGGAGCCTTTCTGCAGGTGCCCCACCCAGCTCCCTGATTCTGAACAAAAAGGGCTTCCAGGACAGAGCAGGAGACCCACCTGCTGCTGAGGGGGGGGGGCCTCAGAGATGGGAGAGGGTCAGAATGAGCCTTCTTGGCCTTTGGGAGACCTGGGGCACCGCAACTGACATGGCGGCCTCTCGCTTCTGCACAGCTTCTGCGTGCCGGGAGCTCACCTGCTTCGCGGACTACATCCAGAGGCTGGAATGCACGTGGGAACGCAGCCTCAGCCCAGCTCACAGGGCCCTCTACAACCTCACCGCAAACTGGTAGGTATGAGGAGGAGGAGGTGCTGCGTCCCCCCAGCCCCCCCCCCGGGTGCCCCGGGCTTCTCTGTCCATTCAGAACAAGGAGCAGGAGCCCCAGTTGCAGCCTCTTCCCAGTCGGGCTCTGCCGGCATGGACAGCCATCCTGCCTCACCAACTCTAGGCTCAGTGTGTGTGTGTGTGTGTGTGTGTGTGTGTGTGTGTGTGTGTGTGTGTGAAGCCGCTCTCCTGTTGCAAGGGAGGCTTTTCAAGGGGGAGGTTGGGGGGGGGGGTTGCAATCAAGTGCTTCAGCCCTGTGCCAGCAGAGAAGGAAGCCCAGAAAGCCTCCTGGGAGGGACCAGGCATTTCACTCCCCGTTCCCCTTCTGCATCCCCTCCACGGACCCTGGGAAGCGACCTCTTTGCTGGACCTCCTGAGATGTTTGCTTTTCCCAGGGACTGTGGAGATGGCGGGAGCTGCTCCTTCGGCCTTACCGCCAGCAACGCCACCCATGTGCACTATGCCTGCTTCTCAGAGCAGAAGCTGTGCTTTGCCACCAATGTCTTTGAGGTCAGCATCGCCACAACTCTTGTGCAGGACCCTTCAGGGCTGCCCCAAGCCTGCAATAAGACGTTCCAGTTCCAGAATCACAGTGAGTACAACCAAAGACCTGTGCTAGAACTCCCGGGCAGGCAAGAGATTCAGCAGCTGGTCACAGCTGGACAAAGAGACCCCAAGGGGCATCGTCCAGTACTGCTTTCCTTGGGATACTTTTTTTCCTCCATGATGCCTTCCTCCCCTGAGCCTCAGGGAACCTCCAGCTGCTCCTTGCTTTCCCTGGATTTCCTTCCCCTGGGAGGGAGGGGGGAGGGAGGGAGGGAGGGAACACAGGACTTGGTGGCATTTGCAGTGAACAAGCTGAGCACTGATGCTCAAGGCCACACATAGGTTTTCTACACAACACATGCAGAGACAAGGCTGTAAAGAGCAAGAAGAGACCAGAAAACAAACTCTTCTTTAACGTGTCCCTAAAAAGCAGCTTCAGCAACTGCCTAAGAACAAATGCTGAAGCGACATTTGTCTCTTGTTGCTCCAGAACAAAGCAAACAAAGGACTTGGGGGCTTTTGGGAGATAAAACTAAACCGAGGGTTACCCCTTCAATTCTCTGGGCAAACCTTAATTCTGTCCACTTGTGTGCGGTGGGGGGGGCTGCCTCCGTCTGTGGGGTATCCCAGTCTGGCTCCTTCCCTTCCCAGTTAAGCCATATCCGCCAATCCACCTGGCTGCAGCTGCATCCTCTACCGGCTACAACATTTCGTGGGAGACCAGATACCTGGACCAAGAGTACCACTCCCTGAACGGCAACCTGCAATATGAGCTGCAGTACAAGAAAAAAGGTCACCCTTGGCAGGTGAGGAGGCAGAGCAGAAAGGGGGGGAACTCAAGGGATGGGGGCTCGAGGGGTCATCCGAAGGCATCAGCACGGAGGAGTGGCACAAGGACGGGCCAATCGACCCATGAGGCTCACATTATTTTATGTGTGTAACCGAGACATACTAGGAAAATTAGTGTTTGGAAAAGACTGATGACCTTTGTAATTGCCCCTCCTTTTCTCCTTTCTTTGACTAACACTCCCACTTTTTAAAAATGGAAATAAAGCTCGCTTAAGAAAGTAAGCCTGCCTCGTCTGCCAGGCTGGGAGAAGGGCTTTGGGCTTCCTATCAAAAGCAGTTTTTTTTTTTAAAAAAAAAAACGGGTTTCCTCCAACCATGGCCCTCCCCTGGCATAATGCAAAAGGAAATGCCGCCTTCTTGGGGTCCCAATTGGGATCAATGCCCTGTCACCATTCTGGCAAATAAAACAGAGTGGGGACTGAGATTCGAGAACAAAGCTGAGTATTTCTGCTCCCCCCCCCAGCAAGCCATCATCTTATGGTAGCTCAGGAGGAGCCACCTTGGCTGGCATCATCCTAGCCACCTTGGCAGAGTGGGTGGAGACTAGTTTGGGGGGGGCTGCTTTGAAAAAACCCAAGAAATACTCTCTTAATCAAAGTCAGGGTTATCCAGAGCATCTCCCTGGGCAATTTTTGGCATGGTTGGGTGTCCACCACCACTGCCCCCCTCCCTCACAGGGAAAGGGAAATCCCCCCAAGGACAATTCTGGGCTATTTACCGTCTTGCTGGAAGAGATGGGCAACTGCCAGTCTGCAGGTCTCTTAGGGGCCTCAGAACAGACAGCTGGGATAGAGACGCGCGCCCCCCAAGGACTCCTCCCTTTCCCCCTGTGCAGGGGCAGAGCCAGAAATCCCTCCTGCAAGACCTACACAGCTTGCAGCTTCTGCCCCAGGAGTTGGAGCAGAACACCGAATACGAGTTCCAGGTGCGGTCAAAGCCGGCCTCTTCTTATCAGGGAACATGGAGTGACTGGAGCCCCCTCGCCTCCCTCAGGACCACACACAAGGGTGAGCCCCCACACCCTCCTCTGCCTTCCACGCTACCACTCCACAGCCAAGAGGGTGGTGGGGACTGGCAGTCCAGGCACGCCCTCCTGACCCCCAGTACCTTCTTTGGACTCTTTTGCGAGCAAGGGCAGCCTGGCTTCTCCTGAGTTACCCAGTTATCTTCACAGTCCTGGGAACCCAGTTTATGAAGAGTGAAGGGCCTGCCCCACAACTACATCCTGACCCCCAACCCGGCTTCCGGGGCCTTCCTCAGCAGCAGGCTTTCTGCACCGGCTGATCAAGATTGGGTGACTGAACTGACTCTTTCCCTTCCTTCTTTAGTTTCGGAGCATGGCAGAGTCCAATGGCTGGAGGTGGTCTTGCTGGTGATCAGCTCCATTGCTGCCCTCGTGGCCTTCCTGGGGTGGCACCAGAGGTGAGTGACATTGCTGGGGAAGCCAGACACAGGAGGCGTCTTGGCCGGGCCATGGAGCTGCAAGCTCTTCCACGTCTCCTTCCACTGCAGGGTTTCCCCCCCCCCCAAAAAAAATGTGTGTTTTTCATCTAGTACCATCCAAGCCAGCATCAGCAGTATGAGCTGGTGTGCTTTGCTTCTGCAAGCATCTCAAGGGGACAACGGCAGAGGCCAGGACCAGAGAATCATCAGGAGTATCCCAGAGCACAGATAAGCTCTTTGTTGTCCCAGGTTGGACTGGGAGAATGACTAGCCACTGGGTGGGGCAAAGACCCCCAGTTCAAGACTCCTTCTGGGTTGGGGGACTTGAGAAACAAAAGTTGCTACACAACTCAGGGATGTGACTCCTGCTTAGCACTTGCCCATTAGCAGGTGGGACAACATCTGGTGACTGGTCTGTCTTTCCCCTTGCAGGTTGTGGAAGAAGCTGGACTGTTTCACCCCCAGCCCAGCCCCCTTCTTCCAGCCCCTCTACCTGAGCCACAATGGAGATTTCAAGGTAAGAGCCGGCTCCTTCCCAGTTACTAATCAAAGTAATTTGTAGGGAGGGGAGGTCTCAATGGTCCAATTTGGCACATTCAACAAAAGAAACTCCCGGCTCTTTAGAACTACCAAGAGTAAAGCTTTATTGAAAGATCCATCTAGGCACAACAGAAGCAAAGTCAGTTCTGGGATTTTTCCCATGAAAACTCCCATAGATAAAACCCCTTTTCCCCCTCCGGGCCACCCATAGTTCATAATTCACCCACTGAATTCAGTTCTTTTGTTGTGGGAAAGCAGTTCTGCCCCACACAACATATCTCATAACTTGACCTTAGTGGATAACATTTCACTGGCAACAGCAGGCACTCGTGCTTTCCATAGCCTCCCCCCTTCCTAGGAATTCACCCCCTCCCTTTTCTGTTTGGCAAAATATGAGCTGGAATCAGGTGCAGCCAATGTTGGAGCCGAGTCAGTTTTGAGAACCCTGTCACCCACAATCTTCCCCACCCACAACTGCCCTAGCTCAGTGCAGGAATCCAAATTCGACTATCCCCAATAGAAGGCTGTCTCCAGTGGGACCCATCCAAAAAAGGCGAGTCCTTCCCTCTCTGACTCATCATCCACCCACCATCAAATTTCCTACCATTAGGAAGCTTTTTTTTCCTAAAGTTTAATCAGAATTATGCTTTTTGAGATTTATTTCTAACAAGATTTAGATCTGAGTGGGCCACAGAAATTACCTTTCTTCTGTGGGCTGACCATTGCCAGAACAGAGGGAGAAAAGTGCAACCCTGCAACTTTTGGAGCTCTCAAGGGCTGAGAGTTCCGTCAACCATGCTGTTCAGCTCAGAGCAGGCAGAGTTGTTTGCAGGAGTCTCATTCTTGGGGAGGCTGACTCAGAGGGACGCTGGAGGATTTGTCTCCTCCTAAGCGTTTGTGATTTGAGCTTCATAGGATTCCACCTTGTTTCCTATGATGTTCAGCATCTCCACAAACACCCCTGTCATCTGGGGACTTAGATATGCTGCTAACCTGAAACTCTGATGTTTAGTACAGCTCCAAGCGAGTGCTGGCACAGTGGCAGATTAGATGAGAACTAAGGAACTGATCATTCAAATACAACAAATGTCAGACCTTCCCCAGCTGGTTCATCAAGAAAGTAAGAAAGTAAGCAAAATGCCAGAATATGAAGGGTGGACCTGACATGCTGCCCCCCTGAACAACAATATTAATCCTGCAAAACAAAACATAATAAACAAGAAGAAAAGAGGGTTAAGGTGACAGCTTATTTAGGTTTATCAGGATAGTGGTTATGAAAATGTTTAAGAAGCCTAGCAGCTTTAACATGGTGCTGATCAACCCATTCATTCTGAGATTTGGGGAAATCTCTCCATGCCACTAAATACTGAATCTTTTCCTGATATTTGTATGAATCTAAAATGTCTTTGACCTCAAGGTGTTATTCCCCATCTATCATTAAAGGCTCAGGTGGTGATAGTAACTCACTAGTAGTTAGTACTACTTAGTAATCTCAGTCTTTAACAAACTGCAGTCGAACACTGGGTGGATTAGTCAGAGGGATTTGGGTAAATCTAATTCCACTGTTACTGGATTAATAATACATTTGATGGGGAAGGGACTCACATATTTGGGTTCTAGCTTTTTCAATGGTTGCCAGGATTGTAGGTATCGGGTGGATAAGTAAACACAATTACCTACATTAAAGGCTTTTGGTTCTATAAGTTTCTTGTCAGCTTGCTTTTTATATGCTTCCTTAGCATCTGCAAGAGATTTCCTCTAAATCAGCCAAATATTTCTTAATTGGGAGACCTGTTCTTTTAAAGAAGGCACAGAGGGGTCATTCAAAGGCAGCTCAGGCATGGGAGTGAAGTCTTGTCCCTTAGCCACTTTGAAAGGGGTGGACCCAGTACTACTGTGTACCGAATTATTGTATGCCACCTCTGCAAATGGTAAGAGGTCTGTCCAGTTGTCCTGTTGATAATTAGTGTAGCACCTGAAATATTGTTCCAAAACTTAGTTCGTATGTTCGCAGCCCACATTAGTTTGGAAGTAAGCCTTGGATCCATTCCAAAAAGGTTTAGAAATGCTTGCCAGAACTTGGAAGTGAATTGCACCCCCCTATTGGAGATTATACATTGCGGGGTTCCATGCAGTTGATAGACATGCTGCACAAAAGCTTGGCCAGTGCACATGCCAGGGGAATTTTTTTGGCATGGGACAAAGTGTACCGGCTTGGAAAACAAATAAGTTATAACCATATTTCTTGAGTTTTCTGGGAGAGGGGTTGGGAATTGAGAAACTGAAGGAATTGCTTTATGTTTTGTGTGGTACCTTCAGATTCTGCCTAATGTCAGACCTGCCCCAGCCAGTCCCTCAGGAAAGCAAGACTCTTGAATCCATTGAGTTGAATCAAAAGAACTTTTACTGAGAGAAACTGAATGCAGTAAAGTCAGGCAGAATCTGAAGGTCCCACGCAAAGTGTAAGGCAATTTTTTTGATTTCCCAATCCCAACTCCCCAGACCTGTCCACCGGCGGCCAATGTGATGCCGAGAAGATGTTTTGAGAACGCTGAGGTGCTACAGGTAATAGATCACCCCCCCAGGGTGTGACGGTCTTGGAACCTGGCAAAAACTGGCTGCGAAGGAGTCCCCTTCCTAAGTTCCAAGTGAATAGCAGAAGCAGAAAAATCACAAGCATGCCATCCCCCCTCCCCCCTCAGCACCATGGCAGGACACCAGAGTACGATGGTGGACTGACAACAAAGTTATCTTGGCAGGTGGTTTGTGCCAGCAGCAATATTCTCTGGAGCAACTAACCACCTACCTTCTTCCTCTAGATGTTGAACTACATGCATTTCTCTTCTTCTCTCCACAGAAATGGGTGGGTGCCCCTTGCTCTGGAACAACCCTAGATGCCTTTGAGTGGGGCATAGTTGTGCCAGAGATATTTGGGATTGGACACAAGCATCTTCTTCTGAGCTGTGCCGAGGGAGACTGGAAGGATAGCCAGAATGGGCAGCCTCCAATGTCTGCCCCGCTCCTGCCAGAACTCTTGCAGGCCTCTGCCAAAGACTGCAGTGCCACATGGGAGCAGGGCTATGGCCACCTCTCCATTGACACAGTCATGGTGGCAGAGGAACTTGCAACCCACTGCTCCCAGTGCAGCAGCACCCACCCATGCTGGGCCCTGGAGGAGCTCCAGAAGGAGATGGAAACAAGCGAGAAGGAGACCTACCATGGCCTACAGTTTGACAGCAGCAGCTCTGGCCTGGGCTCTGGGTGCTTGCTGCTGGGGAACAAGATGCCCCTGCAGGACTCCTTTCCCTCTGGGCCGGCCTCCTGGGCAAGCCAACCCCCCTTTGGCTCTCCCCCAGGAGGCCTGGAGGAATTCTTTGGCCTGCTGCCTGCCCCCTCTCTCCTGGGCCCCTGCCTCTCTGCCCCAACCACAGAGGAAGGCCTCTTCTGCAGGGGACCCCCGTCTCCCGACTGGGATGTGGAAAGTGATCCAGTCAACGGCCTGGATCTGGACACCATAGACAGTGGTTTTGCAGACTGCGACTGCAGGAACCCTGACGATGGAGAGCTGGCAGCAATGCCGGCAGGTTGCAGTTGCCAGTCTGAGCCTGGCCCTGTTGTGGGGGAACCCGAAAAAGAGGACTTTCTTCTGCCAAGATATGTCAAGCAGTGGGTGTAGTCCCATGGCACTGAGGGACTCAGGCTGGCTGGGCAGGATCTGCAGACCAGCTCAGCCCAAGAGCATCCCACACGCCTCTGCCAGTCCTTGCAGGATTCTTCTGCCCAGACCCATGCTGCTGTCTCTCTTTCTTTGACCCATGCCAGAAGGTGCCCACCTTTCCTTTTGTGAAGACATGTCGCTCTCCAGGCAATGCTAGAATGGAGGACGTGGGTCTTGGGGCATCAAAGACAAAAGTGAGAGGGAGTGAGCTCAGCTCCAGGGATCCAGGCCCGCACCCAGGGGTGAATTGGGCCAGTCCTGCCTTGGTTCTTCTTCCCTCCTTTAGGGCAAGCTGCCGTTAGAGGGGCCTTTTGCTTCTACACAATGTTTAGTCGATAGAGGTGCTTGAAGAGTAAGGCTGGCCTACAAGAATCGGGGATTCCTATATGTGTGAATGTCTTGGGATTGAGGCTCGTGCCATAGGAGAGGCTGGTCTGGATTCCCTTCCTGCCAGGGCTGATGCTTTCTTAGCTCACTCAGATGGACACCAACCATCTACTAATTACAAATAAAAGCTTCAAGAATCGTTGTCCTTGGTTCCTGATGGTCTTAAAGCTCACAAAGTGATATGGATAGCCACAGGTTATGGAGGAGGAGGGGGAGGAGGTCACAATGCCTTGTGCAATTGTCATTTGATCACACCATTGCAGCACACACCTCTGTTTTCCTCATGCAAGGATTTGGTCACAGTGTAGTACACTGGAACAGAAGCATCATTCAACAAGAACAACTTGGATTTTTTTTTAAAGTAAACATCCTAGTTCTTTCCAACTCAGCAGAATGTTAGAAAAGAATGACATGAAAGGCTTTGGACCACCCTGAGGATATTAAACAGAAGGTGACCAATGTTGGTGGGGAGGAAGAAGTAGTAAAGGACAGCTGAGTTTGAAAAGGGATAAATCAAACCAGGGGCTGAAGAAGAGATGATCCTGAAACACACACACACACACACACACACACACACACACCTCATCTCAATGGAAGAAGCAGTGTCTCAACATTTTAGCAATTGTTCCACTCTCAGCCCCTCCCATCCAGTCATGTGACTTGGAATGGTCTAGCAGCCAGTTGCTGAGCCCATTGCGCAGACAGGTACACTAAACACAACCAATGTTGGGGTACACATTACTGCCACCAGATGGATTTGCAACTGGCTGACCAACTGCCTACAGCATGTGGTCCTCAACAGAGCTACATCTACATGAAGGAAAAGCATGGAATGGGGTACCTCAAGGCTCTATTTTAAACCCAGCACTCTTCAACATCTTCATACATGATCTAGATGAGGGGATAGAAAGGAACCCATCAAATTTGCAGATAACACCAAGCTGGGGGCAACTGATAACTCTTTAGAAGAAGGATTTTGACAGACTTGAACACTGAGTCCTATCCAAAAAAAATGCAATTCAGCAGTGAGAAAAGTAAGATCCTGCATAGAGGCAAGGAAAACCAAATACACAAGTATAGAACAGGTGGTGCCTGACTCAACATTAGCAACTGTGAGAGGGATCTAGGAATCCTAGTGGACAATTACTGCAGTGTGCTGCGGTTGCCAAAAATGCTAATGCAGTCCTAAGTTGCAGCAACAGAGGATAGTTTTAAGATCACAAGGAGTGATATATATTGCACGGATGAGGCCATAGTTGGAATACTGCATCCAATTCTGGTCACCATAATACAAAAAAGATGTTGAGACCATAGAAAGTAGACACCTCCCGCACTGTCCCCTCACAGCATCCAAGGGATCCCAGGTTTGGAGCTTGGGGACAGAGAAGGGCTTGCACCACTCTATGGCTGGAGGGATGCAAGTCAGGATTAGCCACACTTGTCAGAGGCTCTTTCTGTAAGAAAATCACCCAAGCTCTGTTAAGACTAAACATCACTTTTGGGGAGGTGGAGTGAAGGTGGGAAGAATTGAGAAAAACCATGGACAGAACTGACTAACATCAGTCACTGCAGATAAAGGAGGTCACCCAAGGCTGCAAAGATGTGAGGAACAATCAATAGAGAGATAAGGCAAAATGAAATGATACTTGGTTGGACTCCCACTCACTGGCTGGAAACAGGGAATCCCCTTTCTCTTCTTCCCCTGAACCTTGGAAGCATAGAACATAAAATAACAGAGTTGGAAGGCATCTTGGAGGTCTTCTAGTCCAACCCTCTGTTCAAGCAGGAGACCCTATACCATTTCAGATAAATGGTTGTCCAGTCTCTTTTTGAAAGCTCCAGTGATGGAGCACCCACAACTTTGGAAGGCAATTTGTTCCATTGGTCGACTGCCCTAACCGTTAGGAATTTGCTCCTTAATTGTAGGTTGCTTCTCTCCTTGGTTAGTTTCCATCCATTGTTTCTTGTTTTGCCTTCTGGTGCTTTGGAGAATAGTTTGACCCCCTCTTTTTTGTGGCAGCCTCTCAAATACTGGAAGACTGCTATCATGTCTCCCCAGTCCTTTTCTTCATTAGACTAGCCATACCCAATTCCTGCAACCGTTCTTCATATGTTTTACCCTCCAGCCTCTAACCAACTTTGTTGCTCTTCTCTGCCCTCTTTCCAGAGTCTCAACAACTTTTTATGTGAATGATGCAGGATGAAAGGGTTGCAGGAAAACTGAGTCTTGTTGTGAAATAAGTTCTTCACTGTTACATGCAAAAAAGTTTTTTCTGTGCAAGATGAGCCACCTCTTCCTTTTTTGATCTGATTACTGCCTTTTTTAAAAGTTGCAATAATCTCACCCAGATAGGCATCTTGTAACAGTGTGAAAAAGATAAATAGCCTTATCTTTATTCATTTTTCCCTCTGCGCACTGGAAGCCATCAACAATTCTTGGTACATGACAAAAATAGCCTGGGAGGAAAGAAGTAAGTTTCCTCCTAAGTGATCAGGAAATTAATGATTTGGACAACATTTCTCTGCTGGGGCAGATTCTTAAAGCCCCCCTCCCCCCATGCATGCCCAGGAACCACAAAAATAAAATCTGAATGAAGAGGGCCAAGGTAAATAGCAAAGCAGTCATGATAAACATGTATAATGTAGGGTAAAGGTGCATGGAGAAACAGAGGGCTTAAAAGCCTTGAATAGAACAATGCAGAGTGGCTTCTAGCCTCATTAAAGTGTATTGAATCCCCACCAGGAAGAGTCCTTTGAGAAACAGTGAAACAATCTAGGTATGTTTAGTTTGCAAAGTTGAGAAGGAGATATAATAGTTTTCAAATACCTGAAGGGCTGTCACATTATAGAGAGTTGGGACTTATTTACTCCAGAGGATAAGAATAGAATAGAATAGAATAGAATAGAATAGAATAGAATAGAATAGAATAGAATCTAGAAGGGACCTTGGAGGTCTTCTAGTCCAGCCCCCTGCTCAAGCAGGAGAACCTATACCATCTCAGACAAGTGACTGTCTAGCCTCTTCTTAAAAATCTCCACTGATGGAGCACCCACGATTTCTGGAGGCAAGCTTTTCCATTGGTTGATTGTCCTCACAGTCAGGAAGTTTCTCCTTAATTACAGGTTACTTGTCTCTTTGATCAGTTTCCAACAATTGTTTTTTGTCTTGCTCTCTGGTGCTTTGGAAAATAGTTTGATGCCCTCTTCTTTGTGGCAGCCCCTCAAATACTGGAATACTGCTATCAGGTCATCTCTGTTTCTTCTTTTCTTTAGACTAGCCAAACCCAAGTCCTGCAGCCGTTCTTTGTATATTTTGGTCTCCAGGCCTTTGATCATCTTAGTTGCTCTTCTCTGATTTTTTCTAAACTCTCAACATCTTTTTTGTGATATGGTGACCAAAATTGGCTGCAGTATTCCAGGTGTGGTCTTACTAGGGTTTTATAAAGCGGTACTGATACTTCGCGTGATCTTGAATCTACTAAGGGGCTGAAACTTCAAGGATGTAGACACAGATTACACTTGAGGAAGAACTTCTTGACAGAGTGGTCATTTGATGGAACTGGGTTACTACATGGAGTAGCTTCTTCGCCTTCCCTGGAAGTTTTCAAACAGAGGCTGTCATCTCTTGGGGCTGATAGTGTGAATCCTGCAATGTGCAAGGAGTTGTACTTGATGATCTCTTAGGTGTTTTCAACTCCATGATTCTGTTTGGATTTTTGTATCTCCTGTATTTCTGACTGACAGAAGAAACTTCCAGAGCTGTAAGCCTGAGGGTGACCTCCCCTGTTCATCTCCCCTGTTCAGCCACCCTACTGAAATCAGGCCACTCAAATCCGCCAGAAGGGCTGGGACCAAGGAGTCTGGCTGATGATCTCTAAGGCTACATTAAAGCTCAGCAAAAACACGATGTTTTCAGGGCTCAGATAGATGACTTCCAGGGAGACCTGAAGACCATTTATCAGCTACCACAGTTGACAAGAGGCACCTGTTGCACAATGGTCATTTTTGCATGTTCCCATTCCCTTAAGAAGCAATTTTTTCCATCTTTCAACTTCTTTTTTAATTTCTCTCCATAATTTAGTATAATTATTTTAAAATATATCTGCCAAATGCAATGTTAAATATTTCATTTCATTCTTTGTTGACTAGCAACCTGACTTTTTCTACATAAAGTGTTCTTCTTGAGGTAAGCGCCTTGTAACTTTTTGTTTTTCTGTATGAGAATTGTACCACCTGAGAATTCACTAAAACATTTCTTTTCATCAGGTGTCATACTGCACTTTGCAACTGCCTAATGGTTAGTATCATTATCATCCACATGTATTTTATTTTCTATTCCTCTCCTTGAATTTTAATGCCTAATATCTGCTTATCTTTTCAAACTCTATTGAGTAATATTTGGTTGCCAATAATATGGACAGCTTTGTCTGGTATCTTTACTTAGTGAAAAATCTGCAGAAAGTGTTCCATTAGTCATGAGATTTGTAAATGGTTTTAACTCAAGCAATAAATTCTATTTCTGAATTCATTTTATTAAATACTGCAGTAGAAATGGTCATTCCAAATTGTCA